GCGCCACAACTCAATCTAATGCAGCATTAGTGAGGGACTAGCAAGATGACGAACTTATCACACCTTTCAACAGGACCAGTAGCGGCGAGGGGCAGAAAGATACCAGGGGCGAGGGAGAGGGACAAAAGTGAGCTAAACAAGGTGACTGGCCGCTGGTTGAGATAGTCATCAACAGAGTTCGGCGGACCAAGTCGCAGTGTCGAGCGAGGGACAGGAGAGGGGCCAAAGTGAGCTCATCAAGGTGACTGCTGGTTGAGATAGTTATCAACAGATTGCGGCGCTCCAGGGCCGCACAAATTATATCATGCTCAGTGCGTTGTCGTAAGGCGGGATACATCACTCACCGAGTGCGTTGTCGTAAGGCGGGATACATGATCTCTGCACAGATAGAGGCATGCCCTGGCGCATCAGATATTGCCTTTTTGGGGGGACCGGCGTCAGGTACTGATATCCAGATGAGGTCAAGTTTCAAAGGTCCTCACCTGAATATGGTCAAGGGCTTGTCAGGATTGGCGCTCTTTGCCGGGCACGTGTAATCCTTGAGGTCTTTGCAATTTGTTTGTGCTGCCTTGCCCCCTTTGCCCTCTCGACGATAATTTGTGAGCCCACTCCCACCGAACATTCCTGTGACTCCAGACATGCCTTTGTTGCAGACTCGCTGGCCACGGCCCCCAACTCCAGGACGAAAACCGTTCTCTTCGGAGGAGTCGGCGATTCTCAGACAATACCTGGAAGATTTTCGTGTCAAAACGAAGGAAGAAAGAAAGAAGCTGCTGATGTATGAGGTATACAGACTCATGAAGGCCAAGGCACCCCCCCTGCTTACAGAGGAGCAGTGGAAGGAGAGGAAGACGGTGGGTGCTAGCTAGTCATACTGCTGCTCATTTGACGCTTTTGCCATAGAAGATCAAAGAGTGGTTTCAAAACCATGGAAGACGCATCAGGATGCCGAAGTTTGGATATGTCAAACTCATTTCCACCAGATATGTAGTTGCGCACCTGCGCCAGGAGCAAATACATGAGGTCGTGACTCGGCTTGCAAAGGGCGCGCCACCTGGGTCAAGAGTGTTTCTTGCTAAATACCAACAAGGCCTAAAGGAAGTAATGGGTGGTCTCAGAGACGCTGAGAAAGAGGAGTATAAAGGCTTGGCAGAGGAATGGACGAATGCCGTACCGCCCCCTGACGTCCAAAGAAAGTGAGCAGTCCAAATCATGCCTTTCAGCGCCGTCTCACCTTGACCACCAAACAGACTCAATTCGAAACATGGCCTGGGCATGATGAGAGAAATGGATAAAGTCAAGCAATACCAGCTAGGAGTTTTCAGCTGGAGTCTGGTGGGCGACATAGATGAAAATGGACAACATAGGAGCGCTTGGTTGGACCATAATGCCGATTTTGGTCCTGAGGGCCTCCGAGAGTTCAGAGATATGTTTCCTGAGGCTGTAGGTAACATTCTGGAAGCCTGGGTCCAGTATTTGAACTACATTCAAGGTAAGATGATTATGTTGTCACGCCCTTGATCAGTGAAGTATTGAACTTCAAACTGCAGAATTTCAGCAGGGGCCTTCAGATTCACCAGCGCAACATTGCTATACCAGGCTGAGGCAGAAACGGAAGGCGCCGCATTTTGACCTCGATGGCGGCCTACCAGTGCTTCCTCTTGCGCCCGAGGATAGAGCTGAATCTGGCGATCTACTTAAATCCCTCATCAGAGAATTCATGACCATTCATTATTGTTTGGCTTCAGGCAAGCCATCGGTGGTCGTTCCCTGGTTTTGTTTAGATGAGCACAGGAACACGTTGTGGGAGAGTGAGATGTGGCCTGAGGATGTCAAGATCCGTGATCCCAGCAAATTAACGGTTCCATGCTGCAAGAAAATACTTCAATTGTGGAGAGGCCGACAGCAGACTGGTGGGGCAAGTCACACATTTCGTTTTTCTTTTTTCATAGAAGATAAGAAACTGTCCCCTGCCCTGCATGACTTGTCTCAACAAGGCAGTACCCCTGCGCCCAGTCTAAGGAATATTGGTTCTGCGGCGGCTGTTGCCACTCCAGCGCCCAATGGGCGCGTTTCCTCAAATACTTCCTCTACGACGCGACCATCGTCCACCAGGCCTGGCCCGACCATTTCCACTGCAGACCCCCACATGGATCCTATTGGTCCAACACCATCTGGGACATTGATAGGAAGCCCAGATCAGCCACTGGATCCAGCAATGGTCCCAAATGCGGCCTTAATGACAACAGTGATGGGCACCCCTGCGGCCAGTACAAGGAATATGGGTGCTGTGGCGGCTCTTGCCACTGCTGCAGCCAATGGGCGCGCTTCTCCAAATGCTTCCTCTGGGGCGCATCCAGCTCATTTCACGTCGCCTATGTTAATGGACCGAGGTCTCCCCGATGATCCTGAATCCGATCCGCCCGTTGTAAAAAAAAAGCGTAAACAGACAGCGCGTGTGCAAAGTGAAGACTATACCACTGATCCCACAACTGAAGATGAGACAGTCAAACGGCGCAAGGGTCCACAAAAGACGACCAGAAATTTGGCATTGGAAGATGCCATGGCCAGAAATTCAGGGGAAGACGCCGTAGACGGCGCCGCGCCAATCCTGGCTCAAAAGGCTCGCCCCAAACCCAAACGAATCACCAAGCAGCATCAGCGCCAAGGTCCAACCTCTGCTGAAGAGCAGGACGAAGCTGCCACAGCAATCCTGCCCCCAAAGGCTCGCCCCAAACCCAAACGAACCAGCAAGCAGCCTCGGCGCCGAGGTCCAAGGTCTGCTGAAGAGCAAGAAAACATTGACGGGCTGGAAGATGCCGCAGACCCAAATTCAAGAGTCGCGGCGCCAAACCTGCTCCCAAAGCCTCGCCCCAAACCCAAACCAATCACCAAGCAGCCTCCTTGCCAAGATCCGGCCTCTGTTGAAGAGCAAAGAAACATTGAAGATGCATTGTTTATCCGAAAGTCCACAAGACGCCGACAAGAAAAGGTCAGGGAGGCACCACCTGCACAACTACGTTTGGAAAAAGATGCGTTGAAACGAAAGGGCGCCAAAAGGGGCGCCAATGACATTACAAATGCACCGAGTAGAAACTGAAAGATATGTTTCGGTGAAAGGGCACCAATGAGATTACAAATGCAGAGTACTTAAGTGGAATTGTGTTGTGCCAATCCCAAACAAGTCATTGCATGAAAGGTCTGCCTTTTGTATTGCAAGGTGACTTGGCTTAGTGGTTAAGGTGGGAGGTGTACTTAGTGTATATAAGTATGCCCTGGGTTCGAATCCCAACAAGTCATTGCATGGCGACTACCTGGTTTTTTTCAAGTTCAATTGTGTTGTGCCAAGTGCCATGTCTGGGCCCAGATTGTGACGGCTGGAGACTGGGTAGTCAACATGTCAATGGAGAATTTCTTAGTAACTGGTTACGTTTAAATGACAGGGGCGCCGAACAAAAAGGGCACCAATGACATTCGAAGGATAGTTGAAACGACAGGGGCGCCGAAACAACTTAGGCACGCCCATGACATGGCTAAGTGAAAGATCTCAAGTAGAAACAACTGTTCAAGACTTCGATTCAATGTTCAGTATAAAAACAAATGATTTAGTTGTCATCTTGACCCTCTCCCTTGGGCACCGCAGCACGAATACTCTTCCGAGCATCCTGAAGCTCCAACTCCGCGAGTTCCAGGCCCCTGAGGTGCATTTCAAGTCGGTACAACTCCTCGTGTTTTTGACAGCACAGCAGCTCCAATACTTGTTGGGGGTCCCTACACCGGGAAAGTAGGTTGAGAGCAGATTTGAGCCACTCTTGGCGGTGCTTCACCCCATGACCATCCTAATAAAGTGAGGTCAGTAAGAAAATTGTAGTCAGAATGGCTGACCTTGTTTCTGGGAAACTCTTCACATTGTTGCCTTACCGAATCAGGATCAGCCCAGATGTATTCAAAGTTGTCTAACTGAGGGATGAGCAAAGGCGCACCACTGTGACTGGAGGATGCCTCAGGCACAGGGAGTGTTGGTCGGGTCATGTTTCTTGGGGTGGGATCGGGGCCTGGAAGGGGTGGTCGGGTCATATTCCGTTGCTTGTTGGGCATTGCATCTGTTGCTCCCTGCGCCGCAGGGTGAGGTGGCCAGCTCATGTTTCGCTGCACAGTGGGCAGATCAATTGGCGCGCCAGTTTGCTGGTTCATAGTTGGCGCCGGTGCATCTGGTCGAGTCAAGTTGCGCTGTTTCAGAGGGACAGAAGTTTGCGTCTCGCCTGGCGCGGGCATAAGAACTGCAGCTGTCACCCCAGCTGGACGAGTCAAGTTTCGTCGTTTGGGAACAGCGGGGCTTTCTCGCGCCCCCACAGCCGCCGTTGCCTCAATTGGCGCACCACCTTGCTTGTTCGTAGTTGGCGCCAGTGCAGGTGGAGGAAGTGGTCGAGCCAAGTTGCACTGTTTGAGAGGCGCAAACGTTGGCGCCTCCCCTGGCACGGGGATAAGAACTGCAGCCGTCTTTGCAGCAACCCCAGCTGGCTGTTCAGATGGACGAATCATGTTCCGAACTCTGGGCATTGCTTGCGCCTCGGGGGGCGTGGCTTCCCGGCCAGTTGCCGATGTCCCAGTCAGGGCCTGCGCTTGCATGGGAACAGGTGGTCGGGACATGTTGCGTTGTTTGGAAAGGATAGGAATGGTTTTCGCCTCAGGTGTCATACCTGCTTGAAGACCTTTTGGACCAGAAGCAGCTGTAGGGACGTTGGGTGCAGCTGATGGCGCAGCGGGTGGCGGAGGTCAACTCATGTTGCGCGGCCTGGACTGCTGCGATGCCTGGACTTCTTTTCGTGGGGGTCGTGGTGGATCATCAAAGATGACTGGATATTTAGACCCTACTACGCCAGCGGAACAATGTTATGAGTGAAAACTTGAAATAAGGAATAACTTTACCTTTGAATGTGCCATCGTTGTTTGCCATGCGTGCGAATTAGACTACGAGGGTGTGGGCGAGTTGTGAACAAGATCGAACATTGATAAAAGACGAGATCGATTGATGAACACGGTCACATGACGTGACATTTGTTGTACCTTTCCAAACATGTCACGACTTCAACTTCCAACTTCAGCTGCCTCTAACTTCA